TTTTTTTAAAAAAATTTTTTATTATCACACCCTTGTTATAATCACATATTTTTATGGTCCCAAGAGTGTGATTATAGTCAGGGTTGACTGTATTAAAAATTAGACCAAATATTAAGAATTAGTTAGACCGATATTAAGAATCAGTTAGGCTGACATTAAGAATCAGTTAGGCTCAGTATTAAGGATTAGTTGGCCCGGTATTAAGAATTGGTTTGGCCCGGCATTAGGAATTAGTTTGGCCGGCTTAAGAATTCGTGGCCGGAATTAAGAATTAGTATGGCCGGCATAAGGAAAAATCTAATATAAGCCGCTTAGCCGATGTTTTGGTCGGCTAGCTAAGCCAGCCGACCAAAACCATGTGGCTTAAATCACTATAGTCCATTGCCAACCCTGGGTGTAACGTAGCACGATCAGAAAAACCTATAACTCCACCTTTGGTGCTCTAACAAAAAGTTTTCCTTGCGAGATTTTACTAATAATCCTGCTAACACCTGACCTTGACCCTAACCCTAACTTTACTGAACTTTTAAAATTTTATCATTATTATGATTTCTTATAGGTGACAATATCACATGCGTGTTAATTAACTTTCCTCTTTAAGATATTAGGTATCTGATATTTATACAACACATAAATATAAACGCTATAAATACGTTTTAGTAAAAGTAGTTTTATAATATAAAAATTTATTATAAAATAAATAATCTATTATAAAACTTGAAATAACTAAATTACTGTAACAAATATGAAAAAAAAATAGTTTTCTCAAAATATAAAATATACAAATACTTTATCATGAATATGACCGATACTTTATCCGAGGAATGATCGGCGTTATTTCGGCGACCAATCAAAACGAATTTCCGCTATGCTTATTACTGTATTATAATAATTATTTTAAATTTATTATGTAAGCGATATAATTTATATATAAAAACACAATTATATTTGCAACTACATTTTTTTTATAGGATTGTTAGGTCATATATGCAACCCGTTTTTACCGGGAACCTGATTTCAAAATTTTGCAGGAGATCCGGGTGATAAATTTGCATCCGGTTTGAAATTCTACTATGATTGCTGTTGCTGAATTTGTTGCTAATAAGCAATATATAGAGTTAGAAATGATGCCAATTATGGAAACCTTCAAAAATAAATAAATGTAAAGCATACTCTAAAGTTATTCCCTCGATAGTTGTTTGAGTATCCTCCACGGATTCCACGACCACCACGATATCCAGCTCGGCCTCCCCTATAACCGCGACTGCGATAACCACCACGGTATCTTCCACCGTCAATAGAAACTTGCCCAAAAGTTTCGAGATTTAAACGTCTTTCTTCAGATTGCTTCTGTCTTCGTTCAGCCACAGACAATCCTCTATTAGTAATCGACAAATGTCATAATGATCAAAATACAAAATACATGTTTTGAATAATTTCATTTTTTTTTTTAAAAAAAAAAAAAAAACTGCTAACCGGCCATCAGGCCCTTGCTGTTCCATTCGCTCTTTTGTTTCACAAGAAATATTGTCAAAGAAGGATTTAGCCTTATCATAATAAGTCTCAGCAGGTGGTATCAAAACATCTTCTTCCTCTTCTTCTGGACCAAGTTCAATGCCATCTGCGCAATTTTCTTCTTTAAAATCATGGTTAGGAATAATTTTCTTAACAACTTCTTTAACAAGTTCGTCTTTATTGAACTTGGCATTTGACGATTCAAAATCAAAATCTGATTGTGGAACAGGAATTCTATTACGATCATAACTTTGATTATAGTTTCTTCGGCTACCACGACTTCTACGATTTTGTTGTACAAGATGACCTCCCATTCCTGGAAGTCGGTTATTGCTTAGTACAGAACGATTGTTGCTACCTATTATGAATATACATTAAAAAATAAACTTATAATGAATAATTACACAAACAATAACTAAATCAAATAATATATATTAAAAAAATCCTTTAATAATTTACCATGCCTTTCTCCATTAACTTCCCTCGGAGTAACACTTAATTCGCTGACTTTTTTTGCTAGGTTTTCCACTGCAGTGGCCGTTGATGGCTCTATTGCACTTTCATTTCTTGCGTTTGATGTCTGTGCAGATGATCGGGAACTACTCCCCGTCTTGACGAAATTTTTGGGCACAGTGGTTTTCTTTTCCGGTTTATGGTCTTCTACCTTGTCTGGTGTACCATGTTCTTTCTAATATTCAAGGAGTTAGGAATTGGTATAAACATGGTCCATCGAGGAGCAGGGTTAATCATGCGTAAATTTGCTGCCAAAATTGCAGACCTGTTGTTGTGACTTTGGTTGTTCAGCTTCTTTCGCGAGACTTTCGGTAATATTATTAAGCTATAGTACCACACAAAAAAAAATCAAAAAAAAAAATCAAAAAAAAAAAAACTCAAAAAAAAAGTTCGAATTAAACAACTAGAAAAATATAAATTAGGAACTATACATTTTTCACGAGCTTTGTATGCTAGTCGAATATATATAAAAAATTAAAAGACTATGTTTAATCAAAATTTTATTTTAAAAAGCTTCATAAATTTAAGATGACATACTTGCTGTGGTTGTGGAACTTGTGGTTGCTGCCAAAATTGTTGTTGTTGCTGCTGAAAAGAAGCAACTTGTTGAAGGTAGAAAGGATTTATAGATGCGCCAGGGAAGTTTGGAGGAGGTTGTACGCCTAATGGTGGTGGTGGGGCAAAGCCTTGAAAGTTCGGGGGTCGTGGAGCGGTAGTCTACATAAAATACATTTTGACCTGCATTAGAAACAGTTTGATTCATGACTTTTTTTTTTTTTACTCGTTTCGAATGATCAGAAGGAAGGCAACTTGGAACTATCAGCATTCTTTGCACTCAGACGTAATTTACATCCAGAATATTTCATCATTAAAAACGAGATTTTTTTTCTTTTGCATGGCAAGTAAGATCCAACATTAACTTAAACTCATTGCGTGCAAAATATTTTCTACAGCACATTATCAAACTCTTACCCCAAGAATAGCAGGATCATTAGGGACTTGAGGCATTGACTGTTGTTGAGCTGGGGCTTCACAAACGTGCAGATCTTTTACGTCGGAACCCCGAAACACTATGTACTCAAAAACATTGTCAGACGGAGGAATTTCCTCAGAAGGATTCCCTCGGCGACCTTCAGTTCCATAAGAACGAACTAATCATGATAAAAAAAATGCATGAATATTAAATTCTTTTAATGGAGTACATTATATTTCCTATATCTTTTCTGTATTCGTTTAATCTAATTATATTGTTGTTATAAGAGTATTTGTAAAAGGTGTTAACGATCAAAATTCTTGAAAAGTATATTAAAAAAAAAAAAAAAAAAAAAAACCTATAATTACAGATTTAAAAGACATTTCTGACAAAGTAACTGAGTTTTCAAAATGACGGAAAGTTCTACTGTCTATTCCTCAGTTATATTTTAACATCTATTAAAGTAACTACGAAATTCTACAAAAAAAAGAAGCCAATTAAAAGAACGAACCTTGCTCAAGAGCTACAGTCGAGTCTGCAGAATTGATACTGTGAAGTATGCCTACGTAACGTATATCAGATCTTGATATGAGACTGATCTTGGACCCAATGTATCCAACACCGCTCATCTTTGTCTATTACGAAGACGTTAGGGTTAAAAATAGTTCTTTTGCGACAGAACCTCTGGGATAAGTACTATTAAATTTACCAGAAATCGCCAGCAAATGATAGTACTATTACACACATTGATATCATTCTTAATTTACACGTGGTTTACACAGTTGCCGTAGTTAACATCTCTTAATTTGTAAATTAGGCAAATTTTTATTGTTTGATAAAATTTATTAGAGGAAGATAGTAAAAAGAAAAACTTATCTACTAACTTCTTCCCAATATTGATTTAGTTAGGCTACATAAAGTTAATTTTTGGATATATACTGTATATAAATAGAGATAAAATTATTTTTTAATTTTATATTATTATATTATAAAATTAAATTTTAATATATATTTAAAATTTTTTTTTTTTAAGATAGCTAATAGTGTTTTATTAATTTGCTCGAATATTTTTTTTCTACTTGGGTGGTTATAATATTTTCACAATATATAGTTAGACCTCTATAATTGTATCTCTTATAAGATTATAAGAAAAATTTTTAAAAATATTTATTTAAAAAAAGTATATATTTATAGAGAGAATTTTTACTATGCTTTAATATATTTAAAACTATAACAGAATATGTATTTAGAAATAATTTATATAGTAGATATGTTTATAAAGAGTGTAATTATCTATAGTTAGAATATATAGGGTGTTAAAAGTTAAAAAGGCTTATTTTTATATTTCAAAAAAAAATTTTTATTTGATTTCTTAATAGATACGTATTCAACAAAAAAAATTACATTAAGAAACAAGAATGAATTACATAATAAAAAAATGCTAAAAACTAAAAAAGCTAAATAATCTAAAAATAGAAATGATCGATTTCTAGATTGACAAAAAACTAATAGAATATTCTAGAAATGTAGATCTTCAACTTTAATTGTTAGAAAAAAAAATTTTTACATATAAAACTATTTTTTTTTTTTAAGTTATTTTGATTCTAATCTAATAGTAATAAACCTTCTTTTTGGTTTCAAAAACTATTAGTAGCAAAAATCTTTTTGGATTCTTATAAGTTAGATTAAAATACCAGTAATAAGGATTTTTATTTAAAAATTTAAAATAGATTCAAAAACAAATTACAAATATGATAAGTTATACTGGTTAAAAGATAAAATTCAATCTCTAATTAGAGGTTGAATTATAGTCAAATTAACTAAAAAATTCAACCTATAATCAACCTATAATTAATCTAAAAATTACTAATCAGCTTAAAATCAATATTCAATTTTAAATTGAATAGTTAATTTTAAAATTCAATCTAAAATCAAACTTTAAATTTTATACATATTTGATTTAAAATTAATCTCTAAATTTTGAAATTGATTTTAGATCAAATATATATAAATTTAACCTAAATTCAAAGTCTGATTTTAGATTGAATTTTAAAATTAACTATTCAACCTAAAATTGTATGTTAATTTTAAGCTAATTAATAGTTTTTAAATCTATTCTATCTATATAATCTTTCAAAAATATATTATTATATCTCAAACAAATAGAATTACTATAATCTTACTTTTACAATCCTTCATAAAAATATCTCTAAACTACACACTTAATATCAAATATAAAAGCTAAAAAGAAAAATCAAATTTCAAATTATCTATCAACAATCTTGAAATTAATAATTTCATCCAAATCTCTACACAACTTCATACCTAATATCAACTTCTACTACTTTTTATTATACAAATTCTAAACACTAAAATATCTATAATTAAAAATACAATCAACTTATCTATATATCAAAAACAACTTATAAAATTATATAATTCTCTTCTTAGTCTCTTTCTTAATAACTTACACTTCTATACTGATATATCAATTTACTACTTACAAACACCTTCTATTAAATTAGGTTTTAGTTAGATCTTTTCTAATAATAGCCAAATAAGATTTAATACTATCTTAACATATACTTCTAGTTTAACAAGAGCAGTAATAGAAGTAATAATCACAATTCTACTTATACTACTAATATCCTCTCATATTCACATATATATTGACAACTTATTAGCTTTTTAAATATTCAAAAATCTTCTATATAATAATAATACCTAAATCAAACAACTCAACTAAAATATAATTCATATTATAAATTCTCTAATTAAATTCAAAAATATCTATTATATATTTCACAAAATTAAATCTTATTCCAAAAATACCTTTCATAATATAGTAGACAAACTTGTAAGAAAAAGAACAAACAAACTACTACTTAAAATTAATCTACAATACTTCACTTTATCACTCTTTTTTTCTTGAAATAACAATTTTATCACTCTAAAATTATAGTAGTTTAACAAGTCACTTTATTTTATTCAAACCTTTAACAATATAACTCAACTTAAAATATATCAAAACTTATTACTAATTAACTTTAAACTAACCTTTTTTATCCACAACTCACTTTTATTAAATACTTTTTTCATCTCAAAACTCTTCTAAACAATTTTCTAATAATAGACAATCTAAATATTAGACAACCTTATCTATACTTTATACCAAATTGCATCTCATATAATTAAAAAGAAAATATACTTTACTTTCTCCAATATAATACATATAAAACAAACTTACTCTCTATACTTCAACATCAAGTTAACTAAACTATTATATCTTTAAAAATTACAAATTATTTAGCACAAACTATTATTGCAGTTTTTACAATCTACAATAACTTCTTTCAAACTTCTATCTCAAACCTACTTCTTTATATAATTCAAAAAACTATTCTACAACAACTCTTTATACAAATTCAATATAAACTTAACAAATTAACTATGAACTTCTTTACTAATCTTGCTAATAATACATTAAACTAGTTTTATTCAGATATCTGATAATCAAAAAACCAATATCTACATATATAGAAAGCCTCTTGTAATATTACAAAACTAACTAAAAAAATAAAACTTATAATTTATCAACCTCTACTTCTAAAAAAACTCTTATACAAACTCAATATTCAACTAATATTGATACTTATATTACAAGATAGTTTTTATAAAACTACTCACTTTTCTTATACATCTCATAATTTTTCTTATTTTATTTTTATTAAAAAGGTTTTTTCTAATCTCTCTATTTCTAATAGTAATAATAGTAATTATTTAAATTAGATATTTATATAAAATAAGAAATATAATGTCATATCTGATGACTTACAAAGAAATATGAATACAAATAGAAAAACTTTAGTTATAAATAGTATTATCTTGATATTTAAATTGTACTAAACTTTTTTTTTCTATACTAATATTATAATAAATAACAAAAAAAAATAGTTTTTAGATTGATTATAAATTGATCATAAGTTGAATTTTTTGGCTGATTCAGAATTCAACCAAAAATTTAAAATTCAATTACTAGTTAGAAATTAAATTTTATCTTTTCAACTAGTATTAATTAGTTAGTTATAATAGTTATATATAAGTTAAAGGTATATGACAACTTGAAAGGTAACTTTAAATTCAATTGAATTTGGTTCAAAAACTATCTATATTAGATTTTTTTTTAAAAAAAATTTAAATAGATTAAATTCAAAAACTTATATAAAAAAAAGAGTTTTTTTTCTAGTAGATTTAGTTTAAACCTACTAATAATAGTTGTTCTTTTTAAATTTAAATATATTAGATCTGGTAATGAAGTTCTTAAAAGTTTCAGATAGATTAGATTTATAAACTACTAGTAATAAAGATTTTTGCAAATTTCATAAATTGTTTCAAAACTTTCAGTATTTATAAATAGATCTCTATAGATATAATAAGTTGTAATTCTGTAAATCATATTATACTAATATCAATTAGGTATTAGAAATATGATGCAATATTTAGAAGAATATAATATTATATAAATAAATCTTAATAGATTTATGAGTAGAAGATCTGTATAGTAGAAATCCTGAGTTAGATAAAGTAATACAGATTTTAATAGTTATACTAGTTAATACTTGATCTAGTAAAAAGAGCTATATATAAAGTATATAGATTAAGTAGGTATGAATAAGTCTGTTATACTAGATAATATAGCAATACTAATTTAGCTTAATAGCTAACTGAATTAAGAAAATCTATCTTGTGAAATATTTAGATGATATAAAAATCTAATCTAGTAGAAAGCTATAGCAGAAACTAAGTTTATACGAATATCAAATAAAAATATATACAAGTTAAATTAGAATATAGCATAGTATAGTTAGATATCATAGTATCTATCTATTAAGAGATATTGAGGTAAAACTTATTTAGATAAGACCTAGGCTTATAATAGTAAAGTTTGTGATATATATCAACTTATATGCTTTCTAAAATAAAGTAATACAAGATTATAGCTTATTTAAAATATAATACTTATAGTAAATAAGATAAAGCTAAAGAGTTTAAATAGAAAATCTTCTAAAAGATTTCAATTATAACAACTAGTATAAAACTTTCAAACAAACTACTTAAATTAGATAATCTAAGATAGTTCATATAACTAGTTATACTTTTATAATATATATCATATTCTGTAATTATAAAACTAATAAAAGTTAAGCCAATAGTATTTGTATATAAAAAAAAAAAAAAAAAAAAAAAAAAAAAAAAAATTTTTTGATAATATTTGAAAAAAAAAATTATATATAT